TATTAATTGAACCCTTAATTTTAGAAGATGTAATATATTTGAGACTTGGTTTGCGCTAAAACCCATGGCCACAAATAGTAAGTGGACAAATAAATACTAATGGTTATAGCTGAGATAGAGACTGCTTGTGAAAATGGACTATTTAAATTACAGATCCAGGCATATATGTATTGTGGACGACTGGGATGCTACCCTGAAAATTAGAACATGAAACAACTTGCTTCTCCTCTCTGAGTGCTGAACAGGAGCGACACTGCTAATCTGTTTTGTATTCCTGTGTTTCATAGAATCATAAAACAGTTTGGGTTGGAAAGGACCTTTAAAGGTCATCTAGTCCAACCCCCCTGCAATGAGCAGGCACATCTTCAACTAGATCAGGTTGCTCAGAGCCCCATCCAGCCTGACCTTGAATGTTTCCAGGGATGGGGCATCTACCACCTCTCTGGGCAACCTGTTCCAGTGTTTCACCACACTCATTGTAAAAAATTTCTTCCTTATATCTAATCTAAATCTACCCTCTTTTAGTTTAAAACCATTACCCCTTGTCGTATCGCAGCAGGCCCTACTAAAAAGTCTGTCCCCATCTTTGTTATAAGCCCCCTTTAAGTACTGAAAGGCTGCAATAAGGTCTCCCTGGAACCTTCCCTTCTCCAGGCTGAACAACCCCACCTCTCTCAGCCTGTCCTCATAGGAGAGGTGTTCCAGCCCTCTGAACGTCAAAAGGGGATAGTGATGGCGTTCTTTGGGTTCCTTTGTGGAAGAGCTGTCCTTTCCATATCCTGGAGGTAAAGTTAGTGACATTCACAAATTTCACAGTTGCTCTCTGTCTGTATTATTTGCTTCTGAACTGAAATGAACTGTGGTCACTGAGGATCAGTGCAAAATTGTTAGCTAGAGAATTTTTTTAGTAGCAGCACATTTAGGTTTATAACTGTACCAGAAATATTTGTGTCACAAACAAAAATTTCCCTTTACTGAAACAAGCATAGAGAGGCCAACAGTTTATCACAGTGCACCCCAAGAGTCCCTGGTTTGGTAGGGGCTGCAAGCACCAGGTATTCCTGGTTTGTTCTGAAGCAACGCCCCTTGTCTGCACCCCAAGGTGCACCTTTTTTTCCACCTAGAAATTCCATCTAGGTTTTAATTTAAAAACCGAAATGTCAGCCTTAAAATGAGATGTGGCAGCCACATTTTAAAAGATTTTTAGGTACTTAGAGCATTAAATAGTTGCCTACTACGACTTCTAAGAATATTTTTGTGCTTAACCCCTATTATTTTTAGCCACCTAAGAATTTTTTTTTAAAGTCTGTATCTTTGGGAACCTTTTGAAGTTAAGCAAAGGTAAATCTGAAAGAACAGTGGAATGTGAAATGGGACAAAATTCTGTTTTGAAAACTTTGCTCTTAAACCTTTTTTGAGATTTGTCTATATACCTGCCCTTGCACATTGAATTGATGTAATATGAAATAAGCCTGTATAGTGCAAAATACTCTGAGAATGTTTCATTCATTTTGGCTGCAAGCACTACATAGGGGGGAAAAAAAACAATAGCTCAGAAAAAAAAATAGTAAAGCCTTGAAAAATGGTATTTACAGTATTGGTTTTGAAGCCTTGCAGACAGCATCTCATGAAAGCTGTCTGAATACTTGCATCAAGTATTTCAATAGTTTTTCAGTAAGAATTTAATATGAAGTTATGCTGTGATTATAAGTCCACACATCTTTGAATTCCATATTTAGAGACAAAGCCTGAATTTAAATGGATCTTAAAGAAGCATCTGAGATTATGCCTGACAAGAAGGAGTCCTCTAGTGTAACGGGATATCATTTTCTGTTCGTTCCTGCCTCCTAAATAATGGTGCAGAGGGCACTGCCAGGCTGTTACGGCATTTGGGTTTTGTCTGCCGCCTCCATCGTATTTACTAATAGAGATTTGTATTCATAATTTAGCTGATGATTCATTTGCCGGTACATAGCTGAATACTTCTAGCTCGTTTGGCAGTATGCGTTTTGGCATAGCAGTCATCGTGGAAGCAAAACGTATGTGTTTGTGTTTGGATCTTGTGGCAGATGTGTAATATAAAGGAGCTACCGCTTTGGCACGGGCACTTTCCTGGCTCTGCCCACATTTTAAGTGTTCCCTGGTTATGATCTGTGATCGTCGCTCGTATTGATGTTTATCTGCCTTTTCAGAATGAAAACAGCACTGTTCTGTTTTCCTTTTTTTGTTCTTGTGATGTTGCAAAGACAGTGCAGCATGGTACAAACACCGTGGAAACAGAACTTTATAATACACTTTTTCTCAACTGCCGTATTGGTTCTGAAAACAATTTGTAACCTGTCTGTCTCCATTTGGCAACTGAAAAGCAGGGGTTTGCAACCAGGGCTTTCGAACATGCAGATGACTCAATTTCTATGCAGAGTCAAGTATGTTTCAATTATTCTACATGGGTAATTATGTAGGGAACAAAAAAGGTAAAGATAAGAGGAAATACATACTTGGTCCCCCCCTTTCTTTTTGTGGAACTTCGAGCAAAGTAACATGATCTGCAGAGTGGACTTAAGTCTTTCACGTGCCTGAATGTTAAATATTAAGAGCTTGTCAAAACGTGTGTATAGTTTGCCCTCAAAACAGGGTTTAACTTCTCTTTTTTTGGTAAGTTAATTTGCTGAATAAAATTCCTGCTTCTAATGAAGAAGCAGTTTCTCTTCATTTCTCATTTACAGGGTAACTTTTTCCTGAGAAATTTCAACTAGCCTCCTTAATTTCTGCATTTTTGTCAATATTAAAACTACAGTATCAAACAGTTGTGAGTGTTGGGATGCTGTGTCTGAGTTTCAGCTAGTCGTCTCCCTTCATGCAAGCAGAGGAGAACAAATACACGAGGAAGTCTGAGGACAGAAGGGTCTGGAAGGGAGGAGAAGCAGCAGTAACTTCACTGCTTGTTTCCCTTTACCTTACACAAATGTGGCCATGCAAACACCACACATTAAACAAACACGCTAAAATAAAATTTTATAATGGGCATATTGAGCTGTCTTTGTAAGTTAAATTCTCGCTGTGGTTAATTAAGTAAAAATGCTGCTCTAACTACGTTGTCTTGGGTGCCTTATTATTAAATGAAGGGAAAACATAGGAGGAAATAAAACTTTCTTGCTTCTTTACTTGCTGTAAGATTTATTTCCCCTTGTCCATACATGTGTTGAAAGAACACCAAGCATAACAAATAGTGTTTGCATTTAGTTCTGAATAACAGTGAGGTCCACGATCACTCTTACCTCTGTGAAAGCAAGCTCCAAAGCCTGTCTGGCTGCCCAAAGAGTTTGCGTTTCTGCACGTGATGGATGGGTTCGTTGTTCTAATGAAGCATGGCTGTTGTTGGAGGTCGTGGTCACAGAAGGAGAGAGGCAATCCATCTTTAATGAGGGGCAGTTCTATGGAGGCCTTGAATGCCAAGGCAGAGATGGAGAATTTCATTTTTTATTTGATGTAGAGGGCCAGTGCAGAGACGGTACCTTGTTCTACAAGGGATTTTTTTTTATTACAAAGAACGGGGGAGCTGTATCCTGTACAAACTTTAACCATTTTAGATGTTTTGGCTTAGTTCCCAAGTGTAATGAGTTTGGAGGTTGAAAATGCATGTATTCCTATGGCCAGATCTCTGATCAGATAGGGAAATCAAACCTCTGGCCATGCACAGATGGTGTTAGACTCGCCTGTCTGAGCATCCTTAGGAACTGAGGTCTCACAGGCTGCATACTAACTAGCAGGCAGTGTCTGTAATCAAGGGGAACATTACGGCCCAGGGAAATTCCTCAGAGCAATTCCCATCAATAGAGTTAGTAGGTGTGTATTTTAAGTACCTCTGAGGATCAGGAGCTTGTGTTGGGGCAGAATCTGACAGTGGATCTTCTCATTGACCAGGCAAATTCTATAACTTGTGTTGCTTCCTTTTTCTTTTCTAGACTGCTTATAGACATTTGAGGTTGGTGCTGATGAGGGTAACTGAGCCCTTTTCATTCAAATCAAGAAGAAACAAATTAAGAATAACAACTTTTCTTCACTGAACTAGTCATAGTTGGACTACTGTACCATGGATGTAGAACTAAACACGTAACCAGTCTCCTTACACATCTGGTTTGTTTAACACTGGTTGTATTTAAGGTCTGAAAATGAGAATGTTTTCTCATGGTAGATTTATTTGATATTTTAATTGATTAGCCTAAAGACTGTGTCTGACTACCGCATATGTGGCTGATGTCTGTTTGAGGAGAACATAAAACACTTTCTCTAAGCATGAAGAATGCTAATTTTCTTTTTCCCCTTTGCTTCTATTCTTAGGCCTGTGGGAGACAGATGTTACTTAGCAAAGGGAGGGATGAGCGTAACTTCTGGGCTCAGAAGACGTTAAAACATGGAACACGCGTGCTATGATTCACTGACATTTCTGTTCTTAGATTTGTTCTTTGAACAAACTTCTCTGAAAGGTGGCAGGAATCACCAGCATTGTCAGTACAGAATCAAAACTAGGAAAGAGCTGTGTGTTCACCAGAAAATTGGAAGTTTGACTCGTGCTTAGACTTTGAAAACCAGAATATATTGCATACCTATTCACTGAACACAACATTCAGGAGTAAAATATGTAATGTGATCACAATTTTCTTTTTCTTGGTCTTTCTTGTTTCATTTGTTTAAGGCTTTAGTTTGACAGTTTCAAACTAAACAGTTACAGATTTAAGTATCTAAGGTAATGCAATTTTAGTGCCAGTTACAAATGTGCTTCCTTTTTGACTTGAAAAGTTTGGCCGTTGACCTGTCTCTTTTCAGCCCAATTCTTGTGCTGTGTTCCTCATCCTGGTATCTGAACGAACAGCACATAAACTCATTTAGAGGAGAGGAGGGTTTGCATGTACCAATATTTAGTTTCTTTGAGGTTAAGATTTCTTTAAAAAAAATTCTTGAAAGCAAACATTTTTGCTGTATTCTTGTTTGTCTTGCAGGTTGATCCAGCTTTGAAAGAAAAGTTAAAACAGAACACTGTGACACTGGAATCTGAATATGAGGTAAAATAAATTTGTTGCTTAGGGCTCATAACCTTGGCTACCCTTGATTACCCTGGCCGCTGGTGGGTTGTATCTGTCCCTAACTAAAATTAGATCAGCCATCTGCCTTTGACTCACTGATGTCCAATAAAAACAAGGTTTTATGTAAAGAAAGGCTTTTGAACACGCAGTGCTTCTTTCTGAACACAGCTTTACTTTGATGTCCAGGTGCCAAGTACAGTGATAGAAATAAATTCCACTGTTTCTGTGGTTAACCTAGTCTATAAATGTAGAGCTGATGTTGACCTTAGATGGAATGTGTATACGTACATGTCAACACTTCTGTTGCATGAGTTTTGATGATCTTTAGACCAAATTACAGAACAATGTGCTTGATGTGCTTTCTGTTATTTCTTGCTTCTGAAACTTAGGTGTCTTTCAAACAACTGCCGTTCCTTTTTCACTGCTTCAGAAAAATTTGCAGAGAAATATTTCACTCGTTCCTCAACAATGCATTTTCTTCAAACATTACTGGGCTCCAAAATGGCTGTTTTGGCCAGTTTGATATCCAGAGTTTCATAAATCTTCAGGCCTGCAAAAAGCCACATTAGGAAAACTGGATAAAGCCTCCCTGCATCCAGAAATAAAGGATAAAACTATTCAAGACAATTTTTAATGTTTTAAAATGACTTGGATCAAATGTCCAGCTAACATTTTATCTATCTCTATGGTCTTCATGCTGAACACAGGTTTTCTTTTTTTACACAAGCCTTTGAAGAGCTTGATTGCACCCATAGCTCTCATACTTAGGTGTCCAAATGGCAGTACATGGTCTTGCTAATAAAACCTTTCTGTTATATTACTCTTTTGTGATTTGTCTGAAATAAAAATAAAACTTACCTTTTGTATTTTTACATGCCTAATTTCACAGAATATCTGCCTACCTGCCAGGTTTGTGATAGTGTTTCACTATTATTGCAAACAGTTTTGGGCCGTCCCACTGCTACAAAGAACTGTGTTTTATGATGTAGAGAATAAAAAGATTTGATCCCTGAGTACATATGGAAAGCTCCAATGGAAACTCAAAACATACAAATCCATTAAGTTCTGATTGCCTCTGGGATTATTGTGTCTCTCACTTTCCATAGAATATACAGTAAGGCTGCTCTGATTTATTTATGTGGAAGAACTACAAGCAGTAGAAAGAACCACATATCTCTGTTTAACTCACTACCTAACCTCAAAATCAACTGATCTATTTTCAGAGATGTCTTGCTTTCTTTCCAGAAGATAAGTAAATAGTTGAAGGATAATATTTAAATGGCCATAATTGCATTAGCTTTATGGATAAATCAATGGTAATAAAATACAACTAGCATAACAACATATTACAAGCCTACTTGGGTAATGAGTCTCCTTCCTGATGGACAGAAATGACAGAAGCAATGTTATTTTTTTCTTAATCTACACTGCAGAGAATTTCCAGGCCGAAATTCTTCCAAAGTAGTGTTTGAGTCTTATAGAGGGCAGACCAGTTCAACAAAACAAATGGATTTGCATTTCCACATAGTGAAAATAGATTCCGATTATTGTTTTGAACTCTGATCTCAATGTATGCTTTACTGTGGGCACCAACTTGCACGCACTAGGCATATTCATTTCTTGCTTCAGTGAAACTTGTGGAACTACCAACATTCACGCACACACTTCACAGGCTCTACACAGTGTGTGACAATTTTAATCAACGTTACCTCTGTATTCTGGTGGACAAAATCTAACCAGTGACTGAGTTACAGCAGACATTTAGGAGAGCAGTTTTCTGTGGACCCTGTATGTTCCAGGCTAGGGGGTTTTTGGTGATTTTTTTTTCCCCTTTATTTTTTTTACTTGTCCAAAATACAGCTCTTAAGAACATCTTCTAATTCTATATATAGGTCACATTGGAGGATTAGACTGGTGGCTGTTACTAAATATGGTATAATAAGAGATCAAGGGCAGTTAAAAAAAAAAAAAAGTTGCTGCTTTGATATGTAAAGCCTTATTTTACAATATTATTAGCATTGTCTCTGCAGCTGTTACTGAGGATACCAAGCCAGCTCTTTTGAAGCATGGTTGCCTGATGCATGCAAATTTCTATTGGCCCTCCCTAAGACTTTTAAAAATATCTTCTTGTCCTTACAGAAATGTACATATTGAATGCATACTGAATTATTTTAGAATGTCATAATTTCTGCTATAAGCATACACCTTTATGGGCATATTGCAAAAGATAAAGACATTTCCAATATTTCAAACATGTTGAAGTCTGCATTTTGTCTCCAATGTGGTGGTGGTGATGAAAAAAGCTGTAATCACAGGTTTAATCAATTTACTGTGAGGAAGTTAACATACAGACATTTTCTGACCACCTAATTTACTACATTATATCTTCTCAAACTATACAAAATGTACTTTATTTCATATAGGAGTGTTTCTGGCCAGGATGCTATTTTGAGGAAGAAAGAATTTGCATGTGTAATTTGTATTGCATTTCTTATATCTCAGATCTGTTAATAACGCCATTTCTCTTGTGCCTTGGGACATGCCGGAGGAGCAAGCTACCTTTGTCTGTGTTCTCCATTGTTTATGCATTCCTCTCACACGCTTACGTGTCCTCATATGGCCAATTAGTCCTTGCTGCTCCCCTTTGCCTGATAAATCATGGCTCTGTCCACTAGCGACACTGGTACTAATGTGAATGTAGTTCTGCTGCTGAGCTGGGCCTTGTAGAACACACTGTAAAAAAAATGTCAAGTGTTTGACCTGTGACAAAAGCCTAGAGAATTGTATTTGAAAGCACAAGAACATTGTTTGAAAGAGGAGATAAAAAACTGATTAGTGTGATGAGTGAAAAACATTCTTGTGGATGTTTAACAATCACAGTACGTTCCTTTTCATTGGTTTAAATGCAATCTCAAAATAACATTCCTTATTCTAGCGCTTGGTTTCTGTACTTCTGTGAAATTAATGGTCTATTACACACTAAAAAATGTGGCCTGAGCCAGTTACATCAGACCCCAAAATAAAGAATTGTTGTTTAGGGTTTTTCAAGAAAATAAAAACATCTTTAAGAAGAATTTATTAACATTTTACAATGGAAAAATCAGTTAAGTTTGAATCAAATATGTGATATCCAATGGGAACCGGTGGCAATTGAAGGCAGAGGAAAATAATATCACAATAAATAAAAAATGTGAAGGATTGCTATGGAAACAGTAAATGAGAAGTTATAAAGCAGAGAAGATTGTTAGAAGACGCTAAGGATGTCAGAGAGTTGTCTGATAAGTAAGCTGACAAGGATATGGGTAAGAGGATGGTGTTGCAGCAAACTAAGACTAAAATAACGAGGATGTAAAATTATGAGTAACCACGTTGGCAAAGTAGCAACAGTAAAAAAAATATATTTGTATTTCTTTTAGAGGAAAAAGTCCTTTGTATTCAAATCAGAAGAGACAAGGGATGTACTTCCAAACCTTCTCATAACCAAACAAGATGTTGTTAATATCTGTGAGGCTCTGACGGTTTATAGCCCAGTTCCAAGAAAATGCTTGGAAGACTTCGGTGGCTTCTGAAAATCTCAGTCTGGGAATGATGGTTCTCTGGGAATCGTCACTGGGCAGGAAGGTGATATTTTTAAGTGTTCTGTGAGATGAGGGACATATCTGGGCAATATTGAGTACATTTTTCAGTGATATGAAAGAAATTGTAAAATCACTACTGATGTGCAAGTGACACTAAAGTATTGAAATAATAAAAGTGTGGCAAGGCAAGGACAGAGAGCTGTTCATACTACTTGATAAGCTGGGCCCATTAAATGAGCAAAGTACTCTTTAAAGTAGCCAAAGTTATTTGTTTAAAAAACTGGAAATGCAGGCCAGAGTGGACTGCATTATGGAAAGCAGCAACTCTGGAAAAGATTTAGATGTCAGTGAATAAATAATTCAGATTGATCTTCTACTGTGATGCTGTGGCACAAAGAGCTAATTCAGTCTTTATGAACCTAAACAGGAATGGTAGATGGTAGGAAGAGGTGATTTTACTTCTGAGTGTGGCACTGATGAGGATGTTACCAAAATACTGGATCTCCTTCTGGTGTCCACGTTTTGACCAGGACTTTAAAAATGGGATAGGTTGTAAAACAGGCTGAATATATTAAGTTAGGGCTTGAGAAAATGCCTGAGAAGAAACTTTAAAAAGTAAATCTTTTTAAAGGTACCAAAAAGAATATTAGTTATATATAAATACCTTCATAAGAAGAAAGTGCTAGCTATTGAAGATTTTTTTTTTTTATTGCTGCAAAGATACTAAAATTAGAAGTAAGGTCCATTATTAATAGATGGGAACATCATTTGAACACAACAGCAAGAAAAAGGAGTTCTCTGTCTTTCAGAGTATCAAAACTGTAAAACTTTAAAAAGTTTTCCTTCAACTGGTTGCAAGCTATTGGGCTCAGCATGGGATAAGTGAGGGAATATGCTGGTCTATGAATAGTCAGTCTAGAGAATGCTGCTTTCTTGGCTTAAAGTATATGAATATTGAGCAGTTTTTGTTCCTCATAATTTGATAAATCACAAAAGGTCAACATTAGCTCTGGACAAACGTTGTGTAACTGTTTGTCCTGAGAATTACAGCAAAAGTATTGTAATTGTAGTATTAAAAAGTTTATTCAGGACAGTTCAAAAAGTAAAAGCAGGTATATGGAGAGGTGGCTTGGGAATATAACCTGTATATTTATTGTCTTCAGAGTAAAAGAAGAGTTTGAGTAAGCTCTTCTAAAAAAGATTCAAGCCACTTAATGCTCATTTGACTTAACTTCAGGGATTGTAGTGCCAGCAGAATGGATGAAACATTTTTCCAGGAAGGGACAGTGTAGTAACATAGTAATTTATAGTATTAAATAGATGCATCAAAGTGTGTGGACATGAGGATTACTCTAGAAGGAAGATAATTCCTGGATGCCAGTAGTTGAAATCTGCAAGTAT